TAATTAATAAACAACACAATATTCTGGAGATCAAGTGCATATAATTACATTCAAGTTTTGTTTTTAATGAGATCATGAGAGGTGAGATTCTGCAAATATAGAAACATTTGAAAAAGACTTAAACCCCAACATAACATTAGCTCTTTTTCTATTGCACAAGTCTTACAGTCCGATAGAACATGTTTCTGATCCTGGCCACAGTCACAGAGTCAGTATTCTTCTCCATTGTTTTTGAGCAGAAAGCCCACCTGCCCCAGTCCCCGAGAAATCTGTCCAAGTCATGATGTCAAGTATTCTGTTAAAATCCAAGTTTGGCTTCTGTGATAATGCCTTTATTTGGATTCCTTGCTGCCGTTCTCTCTACTACTCCGTACGCCGGATCCTTAAACTTGTTTGAATATATATTGTATCTTTCTGAAAATAATCCTTGTCTCCAAACTACATTTACTCAGAAATAGTGTCATGTCTCTGTCAAATGGAAATGAGTGGGTTCAAATCCCAGGTCAGGACGAGCTCATGTTGGAATACAGTTAGTTAGTTTAGTCCATGCATGTCCAAACTAAGGACCGAGGGCCAAATGTGGCCCGCTGTGTCATTTCTACTGGCCCTCTGCCTCACCAACACAAAGTAATTATTGAGGCGGCTTCTTAACTGACTTTTGAAAGTAACATCCCATATAGAGTGCTAATGTGGCTACTTTTAAAGCCTCAAACGGCCTGAATCCACTCTAAACAGTTTTACAATTAGGGTCGTTGGTAAGGTCTAGGTCTGGAAATCTAAACTGGCCGTCTTACTACAAGGTTTGGTCAAAGCAGCAGTACATCCATGCATCTCTGGGTTTAGTGTCCTCTATCCATTTCTAAGCCCACCAAAAAGACAGAAGCTCTGCAGAGAATATAGACCAACAAAAACCTGACTGCTGAAATTGATATCACAATCGCAGCTCGGAAACAGACATTTTGATTGGTCCAAAGCGCCTTCAGGATTGTGTGGCAGATTCATTTATATGCCATTTGCAGTAAAACCACATTGGAATACATCCGCAGTGTTCACAAGACAAGTAAGTAGGGATGCACCAATAGCACTTTTTTCAAAACCGATACGAGAACCTTGATTTCTCGATTGTGAGATCAATGAAGTGTATATCATCTGATCTTATTTGAGTTCTCGCCAATATCAAATACCGATACAAGTACTGCATTGTGTTATCCCTGGGATTTCATAAAACTAATACTACTGAAATTCAAAATGTATTTTGATTGTTTTTAATGGTACAGCCTTTACGCAAACCCCGAACCTCTTTACCTCTTTTACTTTGGACCGTGTTCTACCAACTCATCCACCTCTACATAGGATAAACATTTCTATTATGTAGGTGTTAAACGTTTCCAACAGGTCCATTAGGTTGCTCGGTGTGTACTTTTGTAGCCAAAGAAATGTCATCCTTTTGCTCGCACCGAAAAGAAAGATCAACTCATTGGTGTAGAGTGAAATACATTTGAAACCAGTTTAAAAGAAGCAAAACATTCATGGCACTTAGAAACACCTCTTCCATCAAGACGTCTTTAGAAAACCCTGTTGGCTCTGCGTGACCCCGGTGCCCTGTCTCACGTAACAGTGCTAAAGCTAGAGCGCTAATGTCCTCTTGGCGCGGTGCCTTTCATGAGCCACAATCACACGATCGCAGAAAGCTCTCAGCACCAACAGGTCACGCTGACGTCAGGCGCGGGGTCAATGCTAAACGCCGCTAAAAGCATCTCCTCTGATTCTCATCGCACAAATTAGCGGCAAAATATGGTTATTAGATGAATTATAGCTCATTTGTGGGATTCCTGGGGTCAAATGGGAGTCGGGTGAGTACATTTTGCAGTGAGTTTTAACTCTATGAAAAAACCGTCAAGAAAAATGTGTGGAAGATGTTGCATTTTTGAGTGTGCAGTCAATCAAGAGCAGAAGTTATACAGACTCCAAGTCTGAATAGCGATGTCAGAATATGAGCCTGAACTGAATTAAACCGATTAAATACGCACATTTTGAGAAATGTATAAAATCTCCATTATTCTTTCCCAACTTTGCGTCTCGTTCTTGGGCACAATTAGTTTGACAGTTAATTCATAGTGGATGTGGTTAATATAAGGACATGGTTTTATTAAATATATTTCTCTAAATGTATACATATACAGTATGTATTCCTATGTAGAGGTTTTATCTAGAGGCCAAGGGTGTTAAACTCATTTTGAGAAATGATAAATTAGAATAACAAAGTACGAGCCAGTTGGGGGCTACATTAGTTGAGCAGCCAACATTTCCACAGTCGAGCCTGCACTGGCAGCACTCTCAGCGGTCATGGGAGATGGCAGCCTGTGACAGAGAGATGCAACAACAGTTTCAGACGCTGTCTTTGGGCCAAATTGACCCACCACAGAGGTTAAAACTTACCCTAAATATTACTATTTTTTCGCTGAATTTTTATTTTTCCTAACTTGACCAGCCTAGGGTCATTTAGAACCTGTAAGACCCTGAATTAGGGTCTTCTTTTAATCACTGTGAAGCACAAGGGTTTGACATACAATAGTTTGAATTATATATCGTACTATCCATAGTAGTTTAGTAAAACTACTATTATAGCCACAACTGCCATGGGGAAGACTGACAAAAGAATTGTGGTAAGTTAATCAGTCAGTTTGGCCCAGACCTGCTTAGTAAGAGATCTGACAAGCCCAGGCTTTCACAAGCAGATATGGCTGACCAGAGATCCAGCAAGTGGATCTGAGGGCCAGTCCCTGTGCTCCTCAGAGTCCCAGCAGGAGGTCAGTCCCTGTGCTCCTCAGAGTCCCAGCAGGAGGTCAGTCCCTGTGCTCCTCAGAGTCCCAGCAGGAGGCCAGTCCCTGTGCTGCTTAGAGAGCCAGATGGTTCATATGGATCTATCATGTCACAGAAGTAAGGTTGCCCAGCTTTAACCTCGGGCTTTCTTACAGAGTGATCTTTGATGGAACATGCATTGAATATTTCCACATTTAAAAAATGCAGCTCTTTTCATATTTCCCTGACACTTGATCCAGCATGGCCGTCGGGATCAGTGCCTTTCTTTAATCCTGACATTTCCTTTTCTGTCTCTTCGCACAGACACATCTCACATTCCAGCTCCATCTCACACTCACTCACTCACACACACACACACACACTCACACACACACAAACACACACACAGCAGTACTATAGTAGTGATGATGATTGTAGTATAAAAGTATATAAGAGCATGACCACTCTTATTTGTTGTTAAACTGTAGATCTGTGAGGAGTAATAAACACAGCTGGTACACAAACAGAACACAAATTCATGAATATTGGAACGTCAGCTCAATGTTCCAATGTTTTTGTCCCTCTACATCGGTCTCATTGAGGCTTGGAGCGCTGCTGAAACGGATAGACAAATCCCGCCCCATCTCTGCTATGTTTCCATTTAAAAACCTGTTTAAATAAGAAGTACTAAAGAGGTACGTGGAGGAGAGAGTGCTTCAAATTAACAATGCAGAGAACGTCAACAATAAAGTCCCCTTAGGATTTTTGACACGTTGACTTTTTTGACTCCCAAGTCTTGGTGGTAAATGGGACGCACATTTACTGTCACAACAGATTAGAAGAAGAAGGTCCTTTATTCGTCCCACAGTGGGGAGATTTCAGTTTGATGAATACACATTTACACATCAAGGCATGCAGCTAGCAATACTTCTGCACTCTTTATAGGCAAAGTGGGTCAAGTGTCTTGCCCAAGGACACAACAACAGCAGACTGACGGTGGAGAAGGTCTCACTCTGGGCTCAAACCCACAACCTTCAGGCTTAAAGGCCAATGCTCTACCAACTGAGCCACTGCCGCCCCATTATGTTATAAGTAGTATTAATCTTCATAGCACCTTTCACAGACCAGAGTCAAAGCGCTTTTTTATGTACTGTGATTATTTATGGTTTTAATGCTATCTTGTCTGGTTCGGCACTTTGAGTTGCATTGTGTATGAATTGTGCTATACAAATAAACTTGCCTGGCCTTACAATTGTTGTCGACATTTGTCTCTCGCTCCACACAGAGATGGGAGTGAGGTCTCCATGCAGAAGGCACTTGCCAGGCTTATTTTACATGTGTTTAGTGGTATGGGATACCGGAGCACCAGGAGGAAACCTACTCAGACACAGGGAGAACATGCTTACTCCACTCAGATAGACCCTGTTCCGACCGGGAATCGAACCCAGGATATTCTTGCTGAGAAGTGAAAGTGATATCCACTCAACCACCCCATGTACTGCATTGAGTTGACCATAACCCCGACATGGAAGAAAACATCCAACATTTTTCAGCCGTTGTGGCTGTTGCTAAATGGTGCTCTGTGAAGGAGTTCAAACCAATCACTGTTGCTAAATAGTGAGCTGTGGCCTAATGTCAGACAAAACAAAAACAATGCCCTGAAGGCCTTGAACTGTTGGATACGTTTTAAGACTAAGATTATGGGGGACACGGTGGCACTCCCGCTTCTCAACAAAAAGATCATGGGTTCGAATGCCGGTCGGAACAGGGTCTTTCTGAGTGGCGTTTGCATCTTCTCACCGTGTCTGCGTAGGTTTCCTCCGGTTGCTCTGGCTACCTTACCACTAAAAACATGCACAGTAGGTAAAAGTCCTTCCGGTCCAGACCAAGCCAAGTATCAACGTATGGAGAGGGGTTCCCGGGCGCTGTATTACGTTAACCACTGCTCCAGACTGAAGCTGAAGTGGCATCAGAATGGGTCAAATGCAGTGGATGAATTTCTCTGCGGGGATAAAAAATAAGTGCACCTTTATAAAGAGATCTTTTAATCTGAAAATTCTTAAATGTACAATCCTCAAGCTGAATGGACTATTAGAAAACTCCTTCAGACTGCGATTAAATGCAGACTTTCACATGTTTCAGTGCCTCCTCTCGTCATGTGCTGATCCAAAATGGCCGCCGGGCTCGGGACTCGTCTCTCATTTGGCCACGTCCGCCTTCAGACACATCTCACACTCCATCTTCGCACCAGAGCCCCGAGGACTTCTTCTTCTCTCTTCTTCCTCCGACAATAACTCGGCATTTCCATATTTTGATGTGGCGTCCCCGTGTTCCTGCCGGGCCAAATTTGCGGGCTCAGTGGATCGCGTCATTAAGCCCTATCTCCGGAGCGTAAAGCAACCGGTTAATTGCAAAGACTCTGAGCTTTTAGGACATTTTCCGCAGCACCTTTCCTCCCCTCGCATGGATTAACAGCCGGGTTCAGGCAAATCAAATAAAATTAAGTATTAATACGCGATATGCATAATTGACAACGCGTCGCTGGGATGTGCTCCTGGTTTTAGGGAAATAAAAATAAGCAAAAGGTAAAAAACAAGATATGAATTTTTAAACGGTGTGATCTCAGGGTTAGCGGCTGGAGGAGCTCAATCTGTCAGATGCAGGAGTCTAATTAGTCACAATATCAGTCTTCATCACCTTTAAGAATTAATTGCGCCGGCAATTAACAATTATAAAAGTGGAAAAACATTTTTCAACCAATGACCAAGAAACATGATGTTTTATTTGTTCATAGCTAATAAAGCTGGAAAACCTGTATCCTTATAACTTTTGTCTCTGAGCAGCACTTGGGAAACTAGTTTATAAAAAGTGCTATATAAATAGTGGATTTGATTGGATCTGTGTAGGCCCACTTTGGCCCTTACTTTGGCCCTTACTTTGTCCCTTACTTTGTCCCTTACTGCTGGACGAGCAAACCTTTATATTCCATTATAATACATATAGTTTATACTAAGATAAAGTATCTTGTATAAATTAAAATCAGACCACAACCTTCATCGGTCTTCATCTTATTCGAAAAGATACTGTGCAAACATGTAAGACGAGCCCAAAGAGTCACTATTGGACTGGGATGGGAGCAGGGTGGGAGCCCATCCTGCTCCCATCCTATTCCCATCCTGCCACTTGTGTGCCCGCCTCCTTTTGTGTGGTTTGCTCTGGTTTGGTTTGGTTCACCTTCAACACTGCAAACAGACTCTGACAGCACAAAAAACACAGACACTCACTACAGACTTCCACACCTCATTAAAATATTAACATTGGGTCATTAATAAACATGCTTTCATTTGGCTACAGTTGTTTGGCGTGTTTCTGTCGTTTCTATTGAGCCGGGTTATGACAGAAACACGCCAAACAGGCCTTTTTTCCCCGAAATGTTCTGGCCTGGACTTTCAAGCCCAACGACATGTTTAGTTTTTGAAATGTGTCCAAACTATAAGTACATTAAACGAATAAACGTTAAAACTTGGACTCCCACAATTCTGAAAATATACACCTCACAGGACCGTCATTTTGACTGCTCCAATTCAAACCAATGGGATTCCCAGAAAAAACTCGTACTAAGGTCTGGATTTGCTCCATTGAGCTCTGTTAACAGGTGGGAGGGGTTAACTCCTTTTGCAGATTGAAACGATTGGATCTGAGTTTACCGTGACGTTTGTAATGCGCCCGGGTGAGTCGTTAGCATTTAGCCTAGCCATCTCCTTTTCCGCTAACGGAGCCCGTGGGGAGTAGCGCCACAATTGTTTCCAGCGATTACATTTGCTAAACATTCTTCTTGCTCTGGCTTCAATTTCTTGATAGAACCAGACCAGAATAGTTTACTATCGCATTTTTTGCCATTGCCAAACTACGACCTTCCCGTTCGACACAAACTCTTGACGTCACCCACAACTAACTACAACACCTGCCTTCAGCGCTCTCTGATTGGTCGGTCGAAATTCAACCGATTGTATTCGCTAACCCAGGGACCAGACCCAGACGTTACATGCAGTGAAATGATGATTGAGCGGAATTAGGATGGCTAAGGTCAGGCTAGTTTTTCACCAATTCCAGTATTTTGTGATTTGTTTTTTTTTTTTTTACTTTTACTCACTTGAATTTTACATTTTGTGAAAGGTAGACCTTCGAATAACACAATGGATCTTCCAGAAATGTCCCAAAAAAATTAGATGTAGAAACAGAAAAAGTAACGATGATATGAAGACCACACATGTCCACAGAGTTTTTACATTTCCAAAACAAAAAGCCGTCAAAAGTTCTAGTGTTAATGTAAGCAAGTAATCTTTGTTTATATAGCGCCTTTCGCAGACCATCACAAAGCGCTTTACAACTGTTGTTTTTGACAATTTTCACTCACTCCACAGAGATAGGAGCGGGATAACCGTACAGGACGACCATGCCAGACCTATTTATAGTGGTAGGGAAACCGGAGCACACAGAGGAAACCTGCGCAGACATGACGAGAACATGCAAATACCACACAGAAAGGCCATGAGGTGGAATTGAACCCAAAGTGCCGCCCATGTAATTTTTGCAAAAGTTACAATCTCTAAAATGAACTTCTTTTGCACTGATAAAATGTAAATTCCCAAATACTGCAGAGGATGAAATTACCGCTGGCTACACACATTACAATTCTTTACGAGATATCTCTGGCACAAATCCATCGTGACAACTTCCTTACACAACTCTCCCCGTTCCCTTCTTCTCTCTTTGATTGGTTATTCTTCCTCCCACGCGCTGTCATCTTCAATCTTCCCCGCCGTCTCCCAGCGCGCTGTATTTACCTGCGCGCCCAATTGACAGCATCGACTTAATAAAATGCAGGAAAGCGGCCGAGTTACGCGCTACTTAACCCGAAATAAAAGGCTTGATGATATATTCCGCGGGTGCGCATTAGCATGGAGGAGGCGCTAACGAGCTGAGGGGACTTTGTGATCTCGGGCGCGCCGCACTTCCATCCACGGCCCGCGCTCATTTGAAGAGAATTTTTTTCTCGTCGGCGGACATTAAGGAGCCGTCAAATCAAAAGTGACAAGAGCAGAGAGAGAGGATCGAGAGATAAGGGAAAGGAGTATTCAAACGGTCGGGTCCTGACAGCGCGGGCTCGTAATGTAGACTGACAAAGAGGATTCTGGGTAAAAACTGGTCGACCTTTGAGCCGCGACGGAGAGGGATCGGCGAAGTCCACTTTATCCACTCGAAAATCGCAAAGTAATTGGCGTAATGTTTTGGCGGCTGGAGCTGTGCTATTCATAGCAATCACATTTAAATCACACAGTTAGGATATTGTAAAAAAATAAAAATCAGGTTAGCAGCTGTGGATTACAGACAGAAGGTTTTGGGTCCAATTCCACCTTCTGGTGTGTGCCGTCTTCTCTGTCTGGTGCACACTGGGGTAGTCTTGCACAGTTTTTCCAATGTGGTTTTACTGCAAATGGCAAATTAATGAATCTGAATCTTAGAAATGTTGGTTGTACTACTGGCAATCATCGGTAACCATAGACATATTAACCTACAGTGAATGGCTTCACATATCCGCTAACACTGCATCTCACTGGTCAAAACACACACATGTATTTTTGGCCTCTGTCACATACACCTTTTGGAAGACAGAGGGTTCGAATCCCAGTCGGAACGGGGCCTTTCTGAGTGTAGTTTGCATGTTCTCCCCACCACCAAAAACATGCACAATAGGTCTGGCATGCACCTCCTGTACTGATGTCTCCGCTCCCATCTGTGTGAGGAGTGAGGGACAAATACACACAACAATTGTCGAGCGCTTTGTGAATTTTATCTGTGAAAGGCGCTATATAAATAAACAATACGTATATTAGTTACTTTTTCAGACAGCAACGTGAAGAAGAGAAGACCTCGCTCTCTCACCTGATCAGCCCAAAGAGTCCAATAGTGACTCTCTGACCCTTTCTTACAAGGATGCAAAAGATAATATGTTTAGAATAACTTTTAGACGGCATGTTGTGGTCTCATTTGTTCACATTCTACTTTTAGACTCTTTTTGGAAGAAGGTACTATTTTTGAAAAAACTACTTAAGTTTATATTAACGTGTTAGTATTTGTTCTGATACACTCTACCTCTCTTCTGACACTGCCGACAGTAGCATGGCCGTCTCCTTTCTGCTGGAAGTGCGTAACGAGGTTGGTGGTCACGTCTAATGGGCCGCACTCACCGTCATCTCCAGCCATTAGCGCCTGCTCGGCTCTGGCCTAATCGCCCCGGCAACCTGAACAATTTGGTTAGACTCTGCTCTGGTAATTACACCGGGGGGAAAAGAGCTAAAAATATCAGCGCTTCAGACTCAGACTCAGAGAAGGACGAGGCTTTCACTTCATACATTACTTTCGTTCCATCTTCTCGTCATATGTTACTTGCGGCATAGTTTTGGGAAAATATTATTTGTAAGTGTAAAATATCAAGCAAAGTGTGTTGATATTGGCTCTTAAAGAACAATTACTTTAGCCGTTTTCTATTTTTTTTATGTGAAATATTTTTTATGAAGTAAAATTAGACATGAAAAAGCGGGTTGAACAAAAACATGATTTTAACCCTTGTGTTGTCCTCGAATCGGGGAAAAACACCATAAATTAGGGTCTAAAGCAATAATGGGCAAACCCCGGCCCGTGGGTTAGATGCGGCCCTTTGGATGTGTCTATCAGGCCCCCATGCCCTCCTCAGTTAAGACTAGGAGTGTGACAAATAATGTTTAATGTTTTTATTATGTCCTGTACAGTGTCCTTGGGTGTCTAGAAAGGCGCTTTTAAATAAAATATATTATTATTATAATATATCGATATACATTACACATCTCGTAATAATCTGCTATGACCTGAACATATTGTTCTATGACCCAGATATTGCCAAAGAAACACATCTCCATCTATCAGCTGACCTTGCTGCCAACAGACCATATGTGCTGCATTTAAATCCAGAGTTGAGAATTAGTTAATAACTTAAACTTATGACTATTTTGTGTTCATTCAGATTGCTTTACTAAAAGATTTCTATACCAGTATATTTCTGACCAATGTATTGATAATCGTCATATCGTGATATAATCGTTATCGTGAGCTTTGTATTGCGTATCGTGAGGTACCCTGAGGTTCCCACCCCTAGATAAGACTATAAATCCCTCTGTGCTGCGCTCCTTGCTCAGCTGTAATATTCATCATTTAATACAGCATTAATACAGTCCGGCCCCCGATAGCAGGCTGATATACAAATGTGGCCCACAGGAGGAAAAGTTTTCCCATGGGTCTAAATGATCAAGGGCTGGTCAAGTTTGAAAAAAAAATCAATAAACTTCAGCTTGAATTTTCAATATGGGGGGGGGGGTCATTTTACCTGAAAGGGTTAAAAATCTCATAAATAATCCCCCAAAAAAATCCAATAATCCAGATTTGACATGTATTCTGTCTGGCCCATTAACTTTATTACAAGTCTCTGTCCTTCAAGGAGAATAGACACGCTTTTCAGTCTCCCCCTGCTTTCTTCTTGTCTCACCTGCTTTTTTATCATAGAATTTATTTACTAGCTCCATGCGCGATTTGTAAAATATCCTCAGTGAGCAGGAAAGAACCCGCTGAGTCCAGGAGCCGTGGAGCCGCTCTGGGCGTATAATAATAATAATACATCGGTTTTAAATACCGCTTTTTGGACACTCAAAGACGCTTCACATGTCATTATTCATTCACTCCAAACACGGTGGCGATAAACTACTACTGTAGCCACAGCTGCCCTGGGGCACACTGACAAAAGCGAGGCAACCAGTATGTGCCATCAGCCCCTCAGCACTTTACAGCCGCAGCCGCCCCACTGTGGCTGGTGTTCCCAGAGGTTACAGCAGACATCAGTGTGAGTTCGTGGAGAAAGTCTTGTGGACTCGAACCCACGACCATCTGGCTCAAAGCCCAATGCTCTACCAACTGAGCTACTGTTGCCCTGTAAATATACTATACTGAGCACTGCGTACAGCCCTTTCTCCTCATTTTTTCTCTACAAAGGAAAAAAAAATAATAGTTTGAAAACACAAACAGTTGTATACCATTTCACTTCTTTACTTATTTTAAATTTTCCATCTGAAGGTAGGAGCCTGTCTCACACCTTCGGGAAGACTGTTCCAGATTCTAGGTGCATAGGTCTGGAACGCTGCCTCCCCATGTCTAGCCCCAACTCTGGGCACCAACATGAGGCCAGTCCCCGCGCTCCTCGGAGTTCGCGCGGGCTCGTACGGCACCAGCATGTTGCATAAGTATTTTGGTGCGAGGCCATGGAGAGACTTATATACAAGGAGAGCTGATTTAAAGACCTTATGACGGGTTTGATTTATTTAGAAATACAGTTTTAACACCATTTTATATTATATTATATTATCACTACTAAAGGTTTCAAAATCAGTTGTTGTTTTGTTTGTCTGATCCCCCCAAATTGAAATAACCCCATAGCAACGCCCTTAGAGACGAAAAAACTTCACAGCCCTTGGTGACGTCAGAGTGGGTACGTTTCAACGCTGTAAGTTGTTTACAATTTGGTATTCGTTCTTTTTTCGCGGTTATTCAAGATGACAAGGCCGTGTACAGCGAGTCTAAGATAACTACTAGATTGTAAATTTTAGTCGTCACAGATAGTCCAGTGGTTGTGTCGATGGACTGCCAATCCACACACTGGGGTTCAAATCCCACCTCAGACACTTTTTCACTCTCAAACGGCAATTTATGTGTAGTGAGCAATTGTCACCTGTAGAGTGCAGTATTGTGTTGGGCATCAGTGGAGAGAAGAGAGAAAAGGCAGTCCTGTGGCATAGATCCATGGTTTTCAATGCATGGGCGTTACCCGCGGTGACGTCACACACAGGTTGGAGCATAGACAACTTAAATTCATGAAAAACACGTTCTTTTTATAAAATATAGGATTTTTTGGCCGGAATCTCTTTCAGATTGACATTGTCATGCAATTTTGATATCCACAATTATTATTTTTTAAACCCGGCATAAGGTCTTTAAAATCTATTCTCTGAGCCACAGGAAGCCAGTGCAGAGACCTGAGAACTGGACTAATGTGGTCGTACTTCCTGGTTCCTGTCAGGACTCGAGCTGCTGCATTTTAATGAATAACTAAGGCTTTTTTGAGTAATGTATTGTGAAACAGACACATGGTGACACCCTGAAACCTGATAGAGGAAAACTTAAAACAATAACACAGTACATAAAAGAACATTATAAGAAAAATGTGGTGGAGATTTGTGGGAAGCCAAGTCACTGTATATAAAGTGTCCTGATTTAGGAGCTGGTTTGGCAAGTCTGTTACTTTGGTTCCTAAAGGGATAAAAATGTGTCTAGAGTTACGTCTGTTTTTTGACACATTTCCCAAATTATCCTTCATTTGTCCCACACTGGGGAAATGTCAGTGTTGCATCGCCAATGACGGAGCAGTGGGAACGAGGAGCTCACAGCACAAGAGAAATGAACAACATCTGTTTTATGTATTTTAAATCCCATTCCTGCACTTTTATTGTATTATATGTCATACTTTTCTTGCGGTTCCGTGTTTTGTATGTGGGGCTCCGTCTGTAAATGAAGTTCAAACTAATAATGTTATTTGAATTGATTTGAACAAAACAAATTTCTAACTTTAGAATTATAAAGAAGCAAGTATAAAATCTCCAACTTTAGCAGAATGAAGAATACTGTAATATTAAGCATAAGTAAGTATAACAATACATTTTACACCATTAGTCTTTACGTAGTTAAGATGTGAGCAAATGTGACTTAAAATATAAGATTATAGATCCTTTACGGCAGGGGTGCTCAATACGTCGATCGCGATCTACCAGTCGATCGCAAAGGTAGTATTGGTAGATCGCATTAAATAAATAAAAAATTACACATTCTAAACGAATATATGCAAAAAACTCCGGGCAAAGTGGAGATTTTTGAAAACTCCGTTAATGCATTTGTGTGTAGACAGAGATAACCGGAGTTTTGCGTTCTCGCACGCCACAGTACCCCCCTAAATTCCTCTGATCACTGAAGCATGGATCATACTACCTTAAAAACTGTTCGCTGTGAGATGCTCGCAGCAGCGCTCCACATCAGAGAGCAGCAAAGTGATTGCGGGGACTCACGCTCGAAAACAACCAAACCAGGACTAAACCAGGACTAAACCAGGGCTGAGGACGGGGTCAGTGCTTGTAAACATACGTCTTTACTCTGAGTGTCTTCTATGACTGTAAAAGTGCCGTTACCGGCGTCTGCATCAGAACTCCGCCCACTTCTGTGTTTTTCCCCAACGCAGGACAGGACGTAAGAGACGCACATGTTTGGAATGTTACGAATGTGACTGATAACGCAGATGTGTGGATGCAAATTATTTTATAAACTGAGGAGGGGAAATATTTGGATTTAAAAAAAACAGGCATGGCACATGGACATGGCACCACAGTCAAATGACATCTGTGTTTTACTCAGTAATGTTTTACTGACACTACTGCACATGCGCAAACAACCGCGCTCAGTGCAGGAAAGCTAAACAACGACAAACTTGTCAGCGAGTTACCACCAATTTTCCGGACTATGCATCCCTGGCCGATTCAATTCAGTGCAAGTCATCAGAGTAAACTCGGGTAATGACAAAAAATGTACATAGGTAATTGTGTTGTGCTATATTGGCTCATGCGGTTTTGCATGTACATAAACATACATTGTAGATATAAAGAATATTTTTTGAAATAAATATATGATTTGCATTTTTGTAGTAGGTAGATCATTTTGACTTGATCCTTTTATAAGTAGCTCGCATGCTGAAAAAGTGTGAGCACCCCTGCTTTACGGTATTCGTCCCACAGTGGGGAAATTTCAGTGTTGGAGCGCACATACAGGACCGTTATAAGAGCACACAAAATATACTATACAAGTAGCTGCTATGTTTTTTAGTTAGCTACAAATGTGAAATAAACCTTGACTGCAGCTTTGCCAGAGCACAGAGGCCGAACCAAGCATTTTTCTCTGCCGTAGGAGCGCGTGGCCGTCGGAGCGCGTGGCCGTCGGAGCGCGTGGTCGTCGGAGCGCGTGGCCGTAGAAGCGCGTGGCTGTAGGAGCGCGTGGTCGTCGGAGCGCGTGGCCGTAGGAGCGCGTGGCTGTAGGAGCGCGTGGTCGTCGGAGCGCGTGGCCGTAGAAGCGCGTGGCTGTAGGAGCGCGTGGTCGTCGGAGCGCGTGGCCGTAGGAGCGCGTGGCCGTCGGAGCGCGTGGCCGTCGGAGCGCGTGGCCGTAGGAGCGCGTGGCTGTCGGGTGATTTACCAGTGACAGCTCACATCTGCGTATAGTGCTGAGGCCACTGCTTACTGGGCAGAGTGTGACGCTAACAGCACCACTCCACACACACGCACACACACACGCACACATACACACACGCACACACACACGCACACAGGAATTATGGGTCGTCCCGAGTGATGAGTGGGGTTTCAAAGCTGCTGCTGACTCGTCTTATTGTTTGTGTGTGTCATGTTGAAATGTTTTATTGTCGTTATGATTTACATGATTGTATAATTGCACATAATACATCAGTTAAAACAGTATTATGATTTGTGTAGTGGGAACCTTGAATTAAAAACGCCATATTTGTACTTTGAATGTCTTGTTTTGGAGGGCGTTTTGGGGTTATTTTAGGGGTTTGAAAGGTCGGGGACTGATCCATGAGATTAAAGTATGGCTCCTCTGTTATCTAATACATTAATGAGGATATTAATAGGATTAAGAGGAAGAAAATGGATGGATGAATAAGATTTGTGTTGATTGTATGATTTGTGGAACTTTTTTCTGGGGGCTCGTATGAACACTGTAAATGTAACTTGAAAATATTTCGTTCTGTTGTTTTAAGATATTATTTCACACTAAAACATACAATATAACACGAATATACAATCTTATTATTATTAAAGAATAGTGATCAGCAGAATACCTTGCTCCAACAAATCCCTGTTTTATACCCACTGTCATGGTGTGGATTTTGTAATTTTGGACTTTGGTTTTGTTTTGACATCTGTTCTCTGTGGTTTGGTTTTTTGTTTGACTGTCCTGTTTTCCCCTCTTGATTGTCTGCCCCGCCCTGATGTGTTTCACCTGTGTCTGTGTCTATATGTACCATGTGCTTCTCTCCTCTTGTTGCTGGTCCATTGTCTTGTCAACATTTGTTCTGTCTTGTTCCTGGTTATGTGTTCCCTGTGCTTTTGGATTAGTGATGGCAATATGAAGCCCCATGAAGCCTTGTGGGATCGCAGCCTATTACTCGGCCCATGAGTCGAAGGCTCGAGGTGAATCATGCTCCACTACGCCATCATGTGGACAAAGAAATACATAACACTCTTAAGTGCTTACAATGAATGGTGAGATCTAATGTTAAAATGTATATTTACAATCTATGGTCTAACGTGTTGTGTTTGAAATGATGCTTCATGAACTATGAACTATTTGAGTCTTTCAGTCAATTGTGTTGATACAACAAACACATCCAAAGTAATACAGTTCTACAGAAAGTGATTAATGGAGGAAAAACTACCAAGAGGTGGATTAATTAAACACAACAAACCATTTATTCCCAATAAATAAATACATTTACTTTGCAAAACAAAATTTATTATGGGTAGACCAGGATTCGAACACTATACCTTCTACTTTGGAGTCCGTCATATACCGACTGCGCCACACAGCTGTTGTGAAATGTATTATCCAGCGTGTTATTACTAATAACTTGAAGCCTCGATATATAAGGTTTTACTAAAGTGAAACGTTTTTAATTGTATTTCATATGAAGTAGTTTCTCTATACTTAGTACAGGACTGCTCCACATCACACACACACACGTACGCACACACGTACGCACACACACGTACGCACACAGAGGCAGACGGGGACAGCCAATACAGTCTGTTACAGCCGCGGATCACAAAGCACCTGTCAAAGCAATGCACTCTCCGAACGATATGAAGCACTATATGAACCGTCACGTGGTGCGGCCGCTACGCGAGGCTTCGAACGTCACCACACACGCCTCGAACCACGCTTCAAAAAATACGCCCCTTTTTTACTCGGTACACGCTTCGAAGACCCGGCACGCTCAGCACATCACTATTTTGGATTATGAGTTTGTTTTCTCCTGCACTTTTATTTTTTCATCATTAAATTCCTTTTATTTTGGCATTCCTGCATTTTGGGTCCTCATTCAAATCACCACGTGGCACCCACTACAGATCTTAAGACTGTATGATCTGATGTACAAGGTTCACAATCTCATGATTTCTTCCACTCTCACAAGAGATGTTTCAAATCCGTGTATCATTCGTTCTTTTGATTTTCTAAATAAAACCAACATTGAAAAAACGAATAACGAGGGATGTTTTTGATTCCCAATCTTTGAATTTAATGCAAAATTGAAATATCGGTTTGTTTTTGGTTTTCTGTGGATCCAATTAAAACGAAAATGCAGTAAACCAATAATGATCGTCTAAATTACTGTTTGCGAATTCCATTTGAAACACAAGAATCCCGCGGAAGTGATTCGCAAGTGCGCCCCCCGCAGGTAAACAGTGGAGTAGCGGTGGAGATGAACTAAATGATGGGTGCGTTGGAAGACTTTGCAGATACAGCGATAGAATGCTTCTAAAACATTCAAACATATGCAGAAATATCAACCACGTTACACCGACTAGGTTTGTCCAAATGTCAAGTCATCAGCTGAGTCATGTCCCTTCTTTTTGATACAGTGGTTAATCACGAAAGCAAACTTTTTGAAGTGGCGTTATTTCATCGCATAGGGCTCACAGAAAGGTATTCTGAGTAAATGTATTCATTAAACATGGATCATGTTCCTGCCCAATTCCTGCCCTTTTTTTTACATATCAGCCGCCTTAAAACTATTGCTGCTCCATCTCTTTTTCCTTGAATAATTTTATTGCAACATTCAAGAGGGATTCTGTCTCCCGAGGCTCAGGAATCACAGCTTGTTGTGTTTTGGCAAATTAAGAAGGCCAAAGACTAAATTCATCATGTATGTAAATCTTCTGTGTGTCTGTTCCAGTGTAAATATTTTTGATTAGTTTGTTCCCAAATTAAAACACTTGGACACAATTCTGTACATTTTTTTTCTAAATTGTGTTGAATCGCAATGGAAACCATCATTTCATCATTTCTACCTTTATCCATTCTGGTCGGGGGTGGCAGTCAGAGATGCACCCAGTCATAGCACAGCCCTCACTGACCTTGCAGGTGTGAGTCACAGGGACGGTGCTCTGAGTGTGAGCATAGCCTGATCTTCAGGGGGCTTGGGCAAAGTGGGTAAGTGTCTGCCAGGACAACGACAGCGTCATCAGTGGAGTCGGGAGAAGTGTAGAGGTGGAATTGAACCACACTTCAGCCTGAAGCCATGCTTACCACTGAGCTACTGTCGCCTTAATGCCAATGGAAACCCGTTAAACAATACTAACTATAGTGATATGTATCATAGATTATGATTAGGAATGACATCTTACTAACAGACTGTGAAATGACAAGTTGTGTATTTGAATGTACCTTTACAGAACAACTTACACCTCAGACTTCCTTTCAGCAGCAACATGGGTCCAAGTTTATTTAGACTTTACTAAGGACTTACATGCAAGCACAGGATCCAGAGCTAAGAATGAAAGAACAATACAAAAAAAAAAGCTGTGTTAAAAAGACACATAATCACATATTTACAGCAAGTCACACATACAAAGAAGCCAGTGACTCCAAAGTTTAGAAGTGAACCTGACTGAGCTGATGTAAGGGCAAACCAGGGACTGTACAATACTATTAGGTAACATCATGACTCTACACATGAACCGATAGTAGCAGTGACGTAGGAAAGGAGCGCACCCTGCACTCAGCAAACATCTGACTGGACGACTGTGTCTGGGATCTTCAGCAGCATCCTCATTGAGTCATAGGAAACTGTTAACCTCTGCAGACTGACTGCTTGTAGCTCCGCCACAGTTGGTGTGTGAATAAAGAAGCCCAAAAAGACTGGAACAAGGAGGTTTTGACATTCACAGAACACATGTTAGACTTCATAACCAGCATGTTAGACTGACCATACAGTTTACATCTCTATCTGTGAGGTCACTGCGTGTGTAATGCCCATTAAGACCAGGACAACTGGATTTAAGAACAGTTTTTACACTTTCAAATGTGACAGAACATAATGTACACTGATGAGTACGTGCTTTTTCATGCAATGATTCTAATTTTGTAACATAAATTTACAATGATAAACACGAGTTGAAAGTTTAAAATGTAAAGGAACAAAAAGGAGATTTGTAGATCAGTTATTATTAATTTTATTGCATTGACATAAACACATCCATCTTTGCAGATCACTGGTACCGGCCAGGACCAGCTGGAGAGCTTTGCAGATCACTGGTACCGGCCAGGACCAGCTGGAGAGCTTTGCAGATCACTGGTACAGGCCAGGACCAGCTGGAGAGCTTTGCAGATCACTGGTACAGGCCAAGGCTGGGAGTAGTGTGAAGTCTGAAACCTTTACCTGCTGCACACCCAGTGAGATCTAAAACAGAAAAGTGGGTTTAGAACAGACATAATTATTACTTGTTATAACTTAACTATCTTATTAAGTCAGCAGAAGAGAAATAGTAACCACCAAACAGAAAGATGCTATGCTAGTCATGTATCAGGACAGGAACTCAAGCTGAACATGAGCCCAGCGGCTTTGACTGTTTCAAACCTGCTGTCTTTCTGACTGTTTCAAACCTGCAGTCTTTCTGACTGTTTCAAACCTGCCGTCTTTCTGACTGTTTCAAACCTGCAGTCTTTCTGACTGTTTCAAACCTGCAGTCTTTCTGACTGTTTCAAACCTGCAGTCTTTCTGACTGTTTCAAACCTGCCGTCTTTCTGACTGTTTCAAACCTGCAGTCTTTCTGACTGTTTCAAACCTCAGTCTTTCTGACTGTTTCAAACCTGCAGTCTTTCTGACTGTTTCAAACCTGCAGTCTTTCTGACTGTTTCAAACCTGCAGTCTTTCTGACTGTTTCAAACCTGCAGTCTTTCTGACTGTTTCAAACCTGCAGTCTTTCTAACTGTTTCAAACCTGCCGTCTTTCTGACTGTTTCAAACCTGCAGTCTTTCTGACTGTTTCAAACCTGCAGTCTGAGGGCTCCTCGTTTCTCTTCATAAGCCTGAAGCATCTAGCTCTAACTACTGTCCCTCGACAATAATTGAGAATGAAGCAGAAACAAAGCACAATTGAATGGTTAAGGTACATCTAGCATCATCTTTTATTTACTAAAATTTAGCATAATTAATTTCACCAATACACACACATATCATGTTCTTATATAATATGAAAGTTTATAACATACATTTATAATAATAAAGCACCCAAATTAGGTGCATTTGTTACATGTGTAAGTGTTTCATGTATGTCGTAGCTAACGCTAACTTAGCTGTTAGCGCTAGTTGCTAAGTTATGTCTTACCTTGACACTTGTGTATATATTTTTAATCGAAGAAAACACTTCTCTCGTGAATCTGAGAATTCTCATCTGCGATGGTCTCTGCAGCAGCGAACGAAAAAGCTGGTAATCTGACTGATGTTGAGGAGAGTTTTAAGAGACATTTCTCCTACAACCAGCGCTAACAAGGTGCGATCCAAGCACCTGGAGGCGACACTTCCTGTTCTAGTGACAAACTCGCACTTTCGAATCACTTCCGGGGGACGTTTGTGTTTCAAAGGAAAATCGCAAAATGTAATTTAGACGGTCATTATTGGTTTACTGCATTTTCGTTTTAATTGGATCCACAGAAAACAAAAAAACAAACCAATATTTCTATTTTGCATTAAATTCAAATATTGAGAATCAAAAACATCCCTCGTTATTTGTTTTTTCAATGTTGGTTTTATTTAGAAAATCAAAAGAACAGATGATACACGGATTGTTTCAAACTAGAGAATGTAGATACAGTCTCAGAGGAATTGATCTGATACAAAAAAAACACGGGCAAAGAGTAAAACTAAGAGGAGGTGTTTATCAGATACTATAACATCAATAAATTCATTCATCAAACAAAGGAGTTATGGAACGGTTTACCAATTGCATACTCCAGAACTATTGTTTTTATTTGTATTATTAATCTTTATTAAGGACACAATACAACACTGTCCATAGTTAAAAGAAAATATCCAATACACACAGTATATTGCATATTGAAAAAAAAATATATATATAGGTACAGGAAAACCAAATAAAAAGAGAAGATTACAGCTGCTGTACAGTATAAAGGCATGAGCTCCGGTAAGTCCATCATTTGGAGGTGAACAGCAGTGAGCAGAACTCAGGCTGACCAGAGTCTTAACAATTGCATTGAAAAACATTATGGAGAAGTATAGAACACATTTGGGTCTATGCTAAATGATTTTGATTAAGATGTAATGTTCATAATGACTGAAGAAATAAAGTACTACAAGAAATACCAATGGCCAAAAAAGACACACATAATACCATAACAAGAAAAAAAAATTCTAGAAAAAATGGTTGTGCTATGGCATAGTCTTGAATGGCTTCACACAACCACACACAAAACACAACAGAACAAAAATCTAACTTTTTGGCCGTATATATTTCATACAGAAGTTAGCAGCATTAGCATTACCAATCAGCCCAGCCCAAAGAGTGACCTCCTAACTCTTGGAATAAGCTGCCCTGGGGCACAATGACAGAAGCGAGGCAACCAGTCTGTGCCATCAGCCCCTCCCACCACCACCATCCATTCACACACATTCTAGGCAATGCGGGTGAAGTGTCTTGCCGAAGGACACAACAGCAGCTAGGCACTTTGCAGCCACTGTGGCACCTGCTGCTCCTGAAGGTCTCCCATCACAGCACCATGCCCTGCACTTCTTAGCTTCAGAGGTCTCACAGGAGTTGCAGGTACGTTTGTCAACTCTGAGAAAAACTAGTCAACCATATCCCTGTGCTCTTCTCAGAAAGGAGTGATAGAACCAGCGACTGGACTCTGCTGCGGGACTCTTCTTCTCTCCGTGAGTTTGGAGCCTTTTGGAGGATTTGCCAAAGTGGAAAAAGCACGAAGCAGATCGGCTTCTGTCCAAACGTGTCAACACTCGGCTTTGCTCCTCCATCGTCCCCACTTCACTGATCAAAGCCTGGACAATGGAAGAGACCAGAGAGAGACCAGAGAGAGACCAGAAAGAGAGACGAAGAGGACAGAGAGAGACCAGAAAGAGAGACGAAGAGAACAGAGAGAGAGCAGAGAGAGAGCAGAGAGACCAGAGAGAGACCAGAGAGAGAGACCAGAGAGAGAGACCAGAAAGAGAGACAAAGAGGACAGAGAGAGACCAGAGAGAGACCAGAAAGAGAGGAAGAGGACAGAGAGAGACCAGGGAGACTAGAGAGAGACCAGAGAGAGAACAGTGAGAGAGACCAGGTGGAGAGACCAGAGGGAGACCAGAGAGAGATCAGAGAAAGACCCGAGAGAAATCGGAGAGAGAGAGCAGAGAGAGACCAGAGGGAGATAAGAGAGAGAGCAGAGAGAGACCAGAGGGAGACCAGAGAAAGACCAGAGGGAGACCAGAGAGAGACCAGAGAGAGACCAGAGAGAGAGACGAAAGAGAGATCAGAGAGAGATCGGAGAGAGAACCGAGATAGAGACCAGAGAAAGGAAGAGGACAGAGAGAGAGACAATGAGAGACCTCTCTCCCAGATCAAAGAGAGACCAGATAGAGACGGGAGAGAGGTAGAGGGACAGAAAGAAACCAGGAAGGGACCAGAGAGAGGAACCAGAAGAATAAAAAACGCTTTAAGATGACAGAGAGAAACCAGAGAGAGGAAAATGACAGAGAGAGACCAGAGAGAGACCAGAGAGAGGACAGAGAGAGAGACCAGAGAGAGAGGAAGAGGACAGAGCTGCTACATAATTACACCCGCCCGGGCGACAGCAGGAGCAGAGTGTCTGAGCTTTGCAAGTATTGATCAGATTAAGCAGAGTCCGGTCACAGCAGAGTATTAGGTCTGGAACACTGCTCTCTGGACAGGCTTTTATTCAGAGGAAAGTTAAGTACTGCTCAGATATTTATGAAGAAACAAGACAAATAAAACTGAATAAACCCCAAAGCTGGGTTACAGGATTTTCCAACTGTGTGAAAAATTGTGTGAGTGTTATGTTGATCAACTCAGTGCTGTTTAGTTCTAAGTGCATCATGATCGGTTTGTTGAGAGACGTTCATCGTCTTTACGCCGCACAGAGTGATGAGATGTCTGCATTTGAGTACAATATGACTGCCTTAAAACAAGATTTGCCAATGAGACAGGCTTAAGCAATCTGTAAGAGTTTCATGTAATGTCTCCATTAAAGGGCCCTAATCTGTCAAAAGATAATAATAAAACATGCTCTTTTCTAATACTTCTTTAACTGGTAACAGGAGTTCAGAGATATACAAATTTCAAAATGAGGTTTGAAATTTAAAACTAAATCTGGTAACTGTTTTCATTTCGATGTCCCGCCCTCCACCGCTTTACCAATCAGAATGTCCGTGATGTCTGTGCCGAGCTAATCTCACTGGTAAAGTACCATGTGGCTTGATTCTCAAAATCATTAATGACAAAACAAGGAATAAAACTAAGATTTCTGTCAGGGCCTTTGTGAAAAAAAGGTGTTTTAGATTTGTAGATGACAAAACTCTTCAGATATTACAGTATGTTCCCGGCTGGATTCGTCTACATATCTGGCAACCTGAGTCAGGGGGAGTGGGAGAGGCTACAGTACCACTTTTGGCCATATTTGTACATACTGCTCCTTTAAAATACAAGAAATGGAATGAGAAAATAAAGCAGCAGTTCTTGAAATAAGACTAAATGGCAAATCTTGTTTAAAGGCAGTCAGAATGTACTCACAAAAATGATAAAAAAAACCTCTCAATTCAAGCCTTTATTACCTCATATTAGATCTTTTTTTTTGCGGTGTAGCTTTGAACAGAGATGAATAAATCTGTGAATTTACATATCCTGGCAGAGTGCTCACTGTTACATAATGATAAAAGCACCATTTTGTTGAAGTAGTTTGAAAAATAAATTTGTATTCAAGCAACTGTGATTACGATCTTTGTGCTACTCATCCTCCGTAGATAATGTAGATAACACACACGTTATTATCTCTATTCAAGCTCCACAAACACAGCTTGAGGAAACATACGTTCAACTCCCAGAAACAAATACAGAACATGTTTTCTGTTCAAGAACGGAATCAGGACTTTAGGAAGTTCGAATTCTAATAAGGGAGTTATCTTTTCTTTCTTTCATGGTTTAAGAAAGAGGATACAGGAAGAGGCTCGGAGTGAAGCCGCTGCTCCTCCTCGTCATACAGGAGCTGTTTGAGGTGGTGCTTGGGATGCCTCCTGTAGCTGGTAAGTCCTCAGACGAAGGGATAAGTGACACACGGGAACAGTTTAGATCATTTTAAACCAATGAAAACATGTTTCTCAATTGAAAAAAAAAAGACAGAACGAATTGGCTAGCCTGGTCGTACCACACCATAGTACATATTACATTTCATACTAAGGTAGGTAGGTAGGTGGGAGGGGTTAACTCGTTTTTCAGATTGTAACTATTGGATCTTTACCGTGACGTACAGTATGTGATATGCCCGAGTGAGTCGTTAGCATTTAGCATTTAGCCTAGCTTTAGCCATCTCCTTTGCCGCTAACTGAGCCCTTGGGGAGTAGCGCCACTATTTTTGCCAGCAATGACTTTTGCAAAACTTTCCTCTTGCTCCGGCTTCAATTTCTTGATAGAACCAGAACAGATTACTTTACTATCGCATTTTTTGCCATTGCCAAACTTTCCTGTTCGACGCAAATTCTTGACGTCACCCACAACTAACTACAACACCAGCCTCCCGCGCTCACTGATTGGTCGGATGGAATTCAACCGTTTGTAATCGCTAACACAGACCCAGACGTTACATGCAGGAAATGATTATTAACCGGAGTGTACGGACGGCTAAGGTCAGGCTAGGCTAAAGTAACAAACTGTTTTTTATTTTTATCTCTCAGATATATGAGTGTAATTTGAAGAAAAGTGCAGTCCATCTGATTAAATCTTTAATAACTTTGACAATATGTCCTTTCTGAAAGCTGAGCAATCACTGAAATTGGGCCTTGGCAAAAACATTAAAGGCATAAAGGAAGATTTTCTACTTCCGGGTGGATCATCAAGACGATTGGTCCTCCCGACTGTCAATCATTCCGGTGATACGTGCTCGTCAAATAAGACCAGAGAGTTTGGTTCAACCCTTAACTTTCCCTATCAATTCAGACACATACTTTACTCCTCACCCAACTTCTGTGAATAATGATTTTCCTCAAAAACAAAGCAAACGTTAGGATTCTTTTTTTACTTGGAAATGAGATGTACTCTGTTTAAAGCACAATTAAAGTTGATAACCACTTGCTCGGAGAATCAATGTATTTTCTTTCTTCCCCCTCACCCTCGATTACCTTCATTTCTCATCAACTTAAGCTACATAATTGCGGCATTTTCCAACCAGGACTGTATGGATTTTAGCATCAAAAACCCTTGGTCGAAAATCCTCCCTGCTCCTGAATTATAATGGAATTTATCCGTCTGCTTTGAGCCCGAGTGGGTTAATAAGCCCGACTTATCGATTAGCCGGGATCGATTAAACCAGGGTTACAAACAGATCAGAGCTGCGTTTCCCAATGAAAATCAATGTAATGAGAGTTTTACCGCAAGGTTCATCGTCTGAGACCGGAGCGGCACGGTCTGATCAACTCTACAGCCATTTGTGAAGACGCTTTTGGCCCCGAGGAAGTAAGACCGGCTCATTTGTGCAGAGACAGAGAGCAAATGAGAAAAAAGTGAGAAAAAAGATTGATCCATTGTCTATTCTTTGTCTAAATTATACGTTTACGAACCCACTAGCTTTTAAAGACGTGCACTGCCATTTCTTTTTGTTCCCTCGTCAGATGCAAACTCTGATTTGTTTTTAACTTTTTTGGCCTAAAATAAATGTTGTGTGATTTCGGTAATTGTCCAGCTGTACTGTGAGCACCATCTTATAATGCAGGCCTGTCCAAATCAAGGCCCGCAGGCCATTTGCGGCCCAATGTGTCATGTTGTCTGGCCTTGCAGCCTTGCTAACCCAATATAGTCACACTGTCATTCAGCCAACTTCAGGTCTGTGAATACACTGTATATGGGTGTACCTTGTTGTAAAGCTCAAAACCTCTGGGATCCAGCCATGAATATCACGTGTAGATACTGACATTTGTTTTTGATTGAGTCCCAAAAGTCTGTAAATTGCACTGATAGTAGCTAGTGAGAAGGCCATTTGTCATTCAGCAAACTTCAGCTGCAACAAAGCAAAGAACAAACCGAATCCTGTCAAAACGGTTTTAGATTCATTTTATTTGAGCAAAACCACATTGGAATACACTTGCTAAAGTCCCCAGTGTGGGTTTTACTATCCAGGTTGTCGGCCCCTGGACAATCCTTGTTAAAAAAAAGTTTGAACAACTCTGGTCTACTGAGTTAAAAAGATTTGCTGAGCCCCATTGCTTCAAAACTTTAAAATGTGCAGAATGCAGAAAGAAACTCCTGGCCTTATCCATCCGTACACTCAGCTCTATCATCATTTCATTCTATATAATGTCTGGGTCTGGTCCCGGTGTTAGCGATAACAATCGGTTGAATTTTGACCGACCAATCAGCAAGATTGGTCGGTCAAAGAGTCAAGAGTTTGCGCCGAACGGGCGGGTTGTAGTTTGGCTATGGCGAAGAATGTGATAGTAAAGTAATCCGGTCTGGTTCTATCAAGAAATTGAAGCAGGAGCAAGAGGAATGTTTAGCCAATGTAATTTCTGCAAAGATTGTGGCGCTACTCCCCCACGGGCTCCGTTAGCGGACATGGCTAAAGTTAGGCTAAATGCTAAATGCTAACAACTCACCCAGGCGCATTACATATGTCACGGTAAACTCAGATCCAATCAGTTCAATCTGCAAAAGGAGTTAGCCCCTCCCACCTGTAAACGGAGCTCACTGGAACACCTCCAGACGTTAGTACGAAATGTCATTTATACTATGGTGTGGTACGACCAGTGTTTGCTTCCTTGACGTGGATGGGGAGCTGATTCCACAGTATAGGAGCTTGGTAGCTAAACTCTCTGCCTCCAACTGTGTTTTGTGACACTACACGACCAAAACTCTGGCGTTTTGCGAGTGCATGGCTTCTTTGATTGACATGATACCGCATCATACCATACCATGTGTCTTGGAGGTGAGAGGGAGCCATAACATTGATGTCTTTGTATGTTAGAAAGACGGATTTTGGGGATGTGTTGTGATTCTATATTCCAAAAGAAGCCAGTGGAGCGGATTTAACAGGGAAACAAATGCATGAATCAGTTTTTCTGCCAACACTTTTAGGAAGAATATTCGTCATTTAGCTTTGGGGGAAATATGCTGTTTTAGTGACGTGGTTTATAGGTGCCCTGAAGGACGTTTTTTGGTCAATAACGACTCCAGGACTCCTTACAGTGTTGCTAGGGGCCACGTTAGCATTATCGAGTGTGATTATCTGATTAGCGAGGGAGTCACGGAGACGTTTGGGGCCGAGTAAGATTACTTCTGTGGCAGGATTCAGCCAATGCCTCTGCTCATTGTGCTGGGAAACAATTACACCATTTTCCCTGTTATCATTGTTTTAATGTTTGAAAAAAAGCACTAAGTGAGTCAAACAGTAACCCGGCCTCACTGTGGGGGAATAGCCTTGTTCCTTGTCTGAACTCTGAACATTGTAAAGCACTTTGGGTGACCTTGATATGTGAAATGAACTATATTAATAAACATTACTTACATACTTACTTGTCCTTCCATCACAAACTTTTTTTATACTTTTGAAATTCATCGGTCCAGCGCTCCGATTGGGAAAACCAGAGCTGACCAAAAGACGTTCATGGTCCTTGGCAAGCAGACGGCAATGAGCATAACTTCAATGGGCCAACATTCCAGATCCCCGGGGCTTGGTATGACTGAGAACTTTATGTTTTGTTGTTGTTGCCTTATACAGTATGTCGACAGGGGGGTATTCCAGAAATATAAAGCTCACCATACTTGACATGGTCTTAGTCTTCCTGGTCTTTTGTACTTAATTATATTTAAACTATTTTTGTATACCCATAAATCTCAACAGTAGCCGTCTCGGAGGACTTAAAGTTGTCGATTTGCCAAAACAGATCAGGAAATTGAAACACGGGAAATACAATAATAACAAACACACAGAAGGCATTGGTCGATATGAGGCGGATGATCTATGTCCATAAATGTTTTTAAATGACCTTAAATGTCCCGGATCATCACCACTGTCCTTAGTCCTTCCTTATCCCAGTGGATAAAAGTCAGAAACCTCAGGCAGGCCCACACTGAGAGGGATCCACTCCTGTCCATGAACTTTTGGTGAGTTCACCGGTGATTTTTTATTTTAAGGTTATTTTAAACAGTGTATTTGGCCTCAGTTTATGTTTTGTCTTTTCGCTGATGAGTTTTGATCTTCAGCCTAATGATGGCTTGCTTCACTGATAGTGACACTCTTGGCATCTCATATTGAGAGATGAGAGTAACAGACTCCAAAGCCAAGTAGCATAATTGAAATCAACTCGAGACTTTTTTTCTGGTCAAAGTACTTTGGATAATGTTGTATAATTAAAATGTTGTATACTAATGATTTTCAGTAGGTGTTTGCATACCATGTCTTTGTGCAAATATTAAGCCTGGATCTAGTGAAATTCAGAGAAGGACCAAGCCCGGACCAGACCTCCCCCAGCCAGATAAGAGTTGTTTGGAGAAGGGCTTCTTCCTTATAAGGAAGAAGCTATAGGTTGGAATGTGTGAATCCCTTTTTCGGCAGCCCCCAAGGACGAGGAGAGAAAACAGGAAGACCAGCCTCAGACCAGAACCAGACCAGACCAGACGAGGGCAAGAGAGGGACATGGATTAGCTTTTAAGAGCTCTCTTTTGTTGAATATTTTTTAAATAAGCAAAGACATTTGGGTATGCCCAACCATTGTGCACGAGCCAAAATGAGGCGGATGTTAAGAGGTTTGGATGATTTTAACCCTTTAATGGTTTCCTGAACCATTTGGTTGATCATTTTTTTGAGTCTACTTGAAGCTTGGGACTGAAATCTACCTCATTGTTGAATCTCTATCAGTTGGTTTTAGGCACTTTTACTGCAAACTGCAGCTCAACTGTTTGGTAATGGCCTATAATTTAAAAAAGTAGGGGTTAAAAAACACATTATTTTTGTACATCTTATAAAATTTAAAATAATCTAAGATCAGATAAAATATTCCTTTATCCGTCCCACCGTGGGGAATTTTCAGTGTCATTGTTGCGCACATTACTGCAGAGAAAAGAAAGGACATAAGAGCACTCAGATTGTACACATCAGGGTCTTTTATTCAAGAAAAAATAGACATTAAAATACGATAATCGATTCAATTGACATGGCTCTCTTCAAGGAGTGAACATTAAAGAGTTAAAGGACAATTTTAAATAAAAAAAGGGAGTTGGGGCGAATGCACTCGTTTCAGAATCAATCATTTGCCGCCATGACCGAAAACACAACCAGTCATATGTTACCAGTGTGTTTGTCTTTGTCTGGAGCATGTCCCACCTCCGCACGGCCTGGCTTGGTGCCCTGGGACCGCCCTGGGACAGCCCTGGTTCCCCTGTCCGCTCCGCTCTCGTCACGCCGCTCCCTGCCACATTAGCGCCGCGGCCTCAGAGGTAATTGCTGCCAGATCCGTTTTGGCTGATGTGGGTTTGAGATGTTGGGCTCAGAGTGAGGAGCAGGGATGGAGGCTGGGGTCTGCTGATGGGTTTGTGTCACTTTTGGGGACACAAACGGGACAGGAGAGGATTTATGGTGATTTTACACATAATATATATATTTTTATAGTTACAGTAAGAATAAGGAGCACACAAGACAAGATAAATTATCAATAACCCAATACTAAAATAAAATAAAATCTATAAATGTAGCAAAATTAAAAGGCAAATATGAAATACTGTATTTTCTATTGAAATAAAAAAAAATATTACATATATTTTCAAATAAAAAGTAAATTGTTAGTGATGAAAGGATTTTGTTTTGGTTCTTGGCGGTTCAGTGATCCAGACCTTGGTAACCGCTGGTATTGAACGCTATACACCCACAATTTATAGTCCTTCCGTCTTATGAAGAATGAATTGGCCTTAAACCTCAGCTCGAAAAGGCTGTCTCTAGCTATGAATGAGAAATTACGCCGCACACAACTGTATCCCACCGTATCCCACCGGGCTCCTTCTCTAAACAGAAAGGGAAAAAGATCTTCTCCTATTAGTGGCCATGAGCAATTCCCGCACAAATCTCGGCCTCTAAAGTATCTATATTTCACTGTCTCTGTTCATGAATGAAACACGCTCCAACCACAAATCCCATGCAATCGCTATAAAAATCATATGTTTTATAACCTAATAATGTCCGTTTCCTCCGGTGCTTTTATATTAGATCCAATTATTTTGCGGAGATGTTTTCTTGCCGTGGCGATGCTTCACTCGCTCCCTGGGGCTGCGCTGTGCTTGTGTTTTTATGATTATTCTTTAATTGTCAGGTCTCTGCAGCGGCGTTTGCCTCGTGGTCGTCATTACCTCCTCTGCTGCTCTGTTCTCTGTGGGTTTGGGCTGAAAGTGCTGAACAAGCGTCAGGAAACTCCCTCTCCTCTCCAGGGACGCTCTTTCTTCTCCGGCTCGTGCTTTCTCTCAAAGGGCTCGCAACAAACTCATCTGAGAAAATGAGCTGCACAGATTTCACCGAGCTGTAGATGTTTTCAAGGTTTTTCAGCCCGACGTGAGATCTGCTTCTGGATCAGGACTATGCGTCTTGCAGCCGTTATGTCCTTAAGTTTGGCTCTCAACACCGCTTTGTGAGGAGTCTGAGTGAGAAGACATTAATTGCTTGTGTTATGTTTGAGAGTAAGTCCAGTAGAATATCATTCATAAACAGAACATCACATGTGTTGTAACAAAGAAAAGATTTATTCTGTTTCCTTTAAGGCACACTGTCTAGTTGTTACTCCCATCTAGCGTTCAGATCGTATATTGTAATTTACGGTACTAAAGTAGCTTCGCAGGACAATGTGTGGTCTTTGACAGTGGTCCCAACTCCCGCTCAAACTCTTGTCCCGTATCAACCACTGTATTTCAAGATGGCGCATTGACATGTGTTAATAGGTCAAATTATAATCCTATGACAACAATTCAATAACATGGTGGAGGTAAATATTCTTAAAAAGGTCAATTTTTGTATTAGTTAAAATGTTTTCTCATTTGGAGTAACTGTAAAAATACACAGAGTACCTTTAAAGCCGAGGTACCTGAGGCTTAGGAGGTTATTATAATGCACTGCTTAATTACCTGATTTGTTTTGGTGGTATATTTTTGCCTTTGTCGGAGGTGACACATGATAGTGTGACGTGTCTCTGATCAGCTGTTGTTGCCGGAATAACACGAGAGACGATTGAAAGGCGATTCATGATTGAAATCAGGAAGCGGGGAGCACGGACCATTAACAGAGACGAGGGGGCTTACACCTTGGCTCACACTTGGGACTCAGTTCTCCAAAGTCCAAAACGCGACGGGGTCTGACACGTCACAACATCACGTGTCACCTCTGGCGAAAGGCGGAAATCTACCACCGAAACAAATCAGGTTAAAATGTTCTTTACTTTTTTTCGTCTTATTAAAAAAGCCTTGAACATAAGAAGACAAAACTAACTTTTTACATTTAAAGATGCAGTCAGTGATTTTTTCCCGATGTATTTTTTTTTTAATATTGTGGGGAAAACGTCCCTAAACCCTAAAAGTAGTAAAGTAAGTAAGTTTTCATGTGTTTTCAAAAGATATTGGAATTGACCAGTTGACCAGATGTTTATAGTCTCCAAAAATGAATAACAAAACTTTTGGAGCGGACCAATAAAAATAAACCAATGGGATGCGTTTACCCCCTTCACCCTCTTCCTGTTTCTCGAGAGTGCACCGGAGTTCTCGGATTTATTTCTAAAACCTAAAATGTCTGAACATAAAATGTCAATTTCATGTTTGTCACACACTCTCCCTGTTGTGACAATAAAATGCTGGATGTTTGGTTTGGTGGAGAGGCAAGGGGAGGGGGGAGTGGTTTCCCGTTGGTGCTACGGCTAACATCACTAACTGCACCTTTAATACTCAGATACCTAACTTTCAAACCACTACGAAGGCAATCACTGTAACTCTGTTCTCTCTCTCAAAACAGTGTGGTTCTTTAACTTGTTTTTTTCTCGTTAGATCAGCTTTTTCAGACAGAAAACCAAAAAAAGAGAGGACCACCCTCACTCCGCCAATCAACTCCTGGCCCAAAGCCTCAAATTGTGACTTTTAAAGCTCGATTAAATGTATTTTTGTGTAGCCCTAAATCACAACTGTAGTTTTGTTGGAGATCTTTACAAAACCGTCAAATTTGCCAACACAGATCAAAGAAACAACCAGTTCAAACACAATGAAATGAAATGATGAAAACACATGGAGTCATTGGTCCATAAGGGGCAGAGACCAATGTCCATAAATGTTGATGAAGTGCATAAATGTTGTTGAATGTCGAGTCTCCTGTATGATCTTGGACAAAATATGTGCATTTATGACACAAAAAGTTAGGTCCCCCGGCTCCGACCGAGGCAGAAGGAGCAGTGTGTTACAGATGGCAATTGTTCATCTATATTGTTGTGTGTCCAGGCCCGTCGCAAGGGGGGTGCGAGGCCCTGTGCGAACTCGAAACGCGAGGCCCTGCCCTGACACTTTTTTCCCAGATCTGAGGAAAGTTTTTCCTGTTATAATCTTTGACATGAATTCAGCACCACCGCGCGGTGCATGAAGAGATCCGCACGCACACACACACACACAAACACTACGGCGCTTGGCATTGCGATATTGGTCGCGGTCTTTTCAGCTGACATGGCTCTTTTGTCCTGTGGCAAAATGGCAACTCAAAAGATTGAACCAAAAGGAGTCTTTTTCTTCTAATAGTTAGATTTCGGCAAAATACGCCCAAAATGGCTATGAGGCGGAGTCAATATTTGTTTTTTTTTCTCATCAAATAACGTTTTTGCCATGCCTCCACACTCTGACAACATACGCTCCTTCTCCTTCTCCTCCACACTGACCACAACAACATACTCTTCACCTCCTCCTCCACACACTCTGACCACAACAAAAACAGCGTTTTATGCCCAAAATCCACTCCACTCGCAGTGGGCGCTAAAGCTAGACATACAGTGTGTTTGCTAATGCTTTTAAAAATGTTTTTGATCTGAATATTCGGACTAAACATTGGCAATAGCAGCGCTCACACACCTGTCACACCGCTGCTCCTCCTCCTCCTCCTCCTCCTCTGCTCACACCTGTCTCGCTGCTCCTCCTCCTCCTCCTCCTCCTCTGCTCACACAAAGGGGTCTGCTCCTCTGCTCACACCTGTCTCGCTGCTCCTCCTCCTCCTCCTCCTCCTCTGCTCACACCTGTCTCGCTGCTCCTCCTCCTCCTCCTCCTCCTCTGCTCACACAAAGGGGTCTGCTCCTCTGCTCACACCTGTCTCGCTGCTCCTCCTCCTCCTCCTCCTCCTCTGCTCACACCTGTCTCGCTGCTCCTCCTCCTCCTCCTCCTCCTCTGCTCACACAAAGGGGTCTGCTCCTCTGCTCACACCTGTCTCGCTGCTCCTCCTCCGCAAGTATCCATCTCTCCTACACTGCGATCATTCCCGTTACTTTCTTCGTATCTCACTCAGACACTGCTAAAGTTATCTGACAGCTCCGTAAAGTTTTTTCGGAGGACCCGCTGCGTACATAGCTGCCCGCGCGCCTGCCTGTTTACAAATCGCTTTTGGTGAAAATTTGACTTTACTTGTAAAAATGTTCTTTTGATCAAACGAAATCAAAGAGGTCCAGAGAAAGGGGTTTAGGGGTCCAAACTTGGAGCGCAGTCTGCCCTTTGGGGACCCTTGAACTAGTGTATTTATAAAAATAAAAAAAAAGGAAGGAAGATTGCGAGGCCCTGTGCGACGGCACAGGTCGCACAGCCCTTCCGACGGGCCTGTGTGTGTCAGTGCAGATATGTTGTTAAAGCCTTGTGTGTTATCCACAGATATGTTTGATTGTTTTGTTCTCAATCAGAAATGACTTATGTTTGTTTGCTCTGACAAGCGGCATTAATGTGAGGAGGAAATCAGCGGTGACTTATTCCAAGCTCATTCTTATTCCGTGTTTTTAAAGAGTCGTGGTTCTGAAGTTGGTTTACGTTGTTCGGTTGAAGGTCGGGAGCCAGTGCAACTCTATGGGAAAGAAATACATTTTGAAAGAAATGTTGAGATGAAACTACGTCCAATTGTCATTTCTACTGACCAACATTATGCATTTGTTTCTGAATATTATCACCACTTCTGCACACCTTTTTAAAGAAAATATTTAGACCACGGTTGATATGATTTGATAGAAATGATGTGGAACTTTGAGACAGTTTTTGTTTCATGTGGGTTGACCCAGGAATTGCACAGCTCTTAACTAAGTTTGGCTTTTGAAACTAACCATAGATACCAGGAAAGACCTCTGCACCTGCTCTCATTGGTAAACTTGTCTCTTTGTAATGTTGTGATGTCACATGTACACAACCTCCAGCAGACTAAAACACACAGGACCATGCAATGACGTCTCTATGGAAACAGACGTCTGGTCGAGGACTGAAAAAAGAAAGTCTCGTGATGTTCTCCGAGTTCATGTGATCGGACGGCAGCGGCGTCCATCTTGTTAGCAGTCGGGTCACACCGCAGTCATTAGCTGCTAGCCATTAGCACAGACGTGGCTAATGGCTAATGTGAGCGATGGGACACGGGGGAAGCACGGGCTAATGTCGCTACATCAGCATTCTGAACAGCCACGCTTCTAATAGGCTTTAAGAGGGCTTCTCAAACTGTGTTGCACGTCCCACTAATGGCTCCTTCATCGTCCATTGAATTAGTTTCATTTAGAGCGGGTTTTATTACTATCCCTGGTTTAGACCTGCGTTGACCCGGTCTGGATCTAGACTTGATTTTATATCCTGTGTTGTACTTTTGTGTGGATTTAATGTATTCTGTATAAAATAATGATCTTCTCGTGTAAACCCCTCCCTTCAGGGCTCCTTTACTTGGTTTCAACTTAACAACATTCTAATTTACATGATTTTACAATAACTACTACAGCGGCCAAACATTTTCATCACCAGTAATTAAAGCCTATAGATACAGATGGACAATGATATCCCCTTAGCTCAACGAAGCCCAATTGGGAAGTGCTCATAGCCAAAGTTTTGCTCCGACTAACTCTGGCTCCTATTGACTTCCATTGAAAAGTAAACTCCTCAGTGTCACTAACAGTTTGTGCATTTTGGCTTTTGCGCTGTCTGTGATGTTGGTGTTTTTAGTTCTAATATTGTCTTTGCATTGACCAATCAGATGCCTTCATTCACAGGGTATATCATAGCAGTGTGCCGTGGCCTGCTTGTGTGCCTTGAGATGTTATTTGGTGGTAGGGAAATTATCCAATATCACCTACTTGGTCAAAAATAAAAAAGATTAGAAATACTTATTTGCACTTTTTTCTATATAATACACTTTGGTGAGAATGACTTTGTTTTTCAGATTCTTATTTATTTTATTTGACATTTGCAGTAAAACCACATTGGAATGCATATGCAAAAGTCCCCAGTGTGCACAAGACAAGTGCATAAATAAAAAA